AGTCTGTACCATAATTGGTACATTAAATATAATTTAATGTTTGTGGTAGATGTTGTATTTCTGTGGTCTGATTGAAGGTTAACACTATTGATCTAGGCAACAACAAAAAAGGAGAAACAAACTTCAACTTTACTTAATGTTCTTAATAAAGCTATGATAACTATTAAACTTAGTTTGATAATTCATGTTAAAAAAATATGAATGATACTATTTAAAATGGATCTCCAATCATATTTACTCATATGGTTTGATAAAAATCTATTCTAAGTTTTATTTCACCAAGCACAAAATATATTAGCTGAAGTTGAATTTACATATCTTCAATATTGTATATACATATACATGTTTACTGTATATTATTACTTACAAATGAATCATTTTCATTATTTAAGTTATAGTTATGGAAGTTGGCATAATAATCGAATGCTATTATCAGAAAACGATTTATTATTATGGCAATAGTCTACTATACTGGACATATATAGTTTTCGAGCAACTCATTTCACACTAATCATATATGTCATTTCATTAGTCTTTATCATTAGGAAAGAGATAATGACTATTTGTTATCAATAGGGAAATTTGGAATTGATTAGAAAAACCACAATAAGCTAATGAAATCTAATGTGACCTAATGCGATGAGTGGAACTAAAAGAAAAAAATGCTTAATCCCTTTTTTTATTTTTTATTTTGTTGGACATTGATTTACTCGATGAAACTAAATAAAACATTTTTAGCAAAGAATTAGTTTTAGGACATAGTTGAACACGTATATTGTATTAGATTTATTTACTGAAACTAAGCTTGATGAGGATGTTTTGGAGGTTTCGACATGTATGATTAAAAGAACAGTAACATTATTATATAATTTTTTTAAAAAAAAACATGGTTATGAATGGTTATCATTTCTAGCTTAAATATAAATTAGATACTATGCATAATTGAGTGTATCCTTATGAAATTGTTTGGTTTATTTGTGTAATAGGCAAATATTTATTTTCTAAATTAGACATTCAACCTGGTTTACAAATAAGTTTCTTTTTATTTTACGTTATGTTATATATGCAAAAGGAAAGTAAAACGTATAGAGAGTGGATGATAGATTATCATTTGTCATGGTATTATTCATATTCCAAAATATCTTGTATATATTCATTCTGATCATTATATAGTTTATTTGTAGGTTTATTCACGAATTTGACTGTAAAAAATCAGCTTAAGGAAATCTACCTTGATTTTATTAAGTGTACTAACTATAAAGAACAAGTTTTTTTATGATTCCAATGGTACATAACATTTTTCTCAAAATATTTGTTAATAATAGAAACGACTAAAATCATGAGATAGTGGGGGAAGATTTATAGCTCAGTTGGATGATTTTGATGAAGTTTCATTCTCTGAGCTGGATGATTTGGTCGTAGAGCTTTCATCGTTCTTCTGAACGATATCATCAGTACAAACTTCAAGTTGAAGTGCTGGAATTTCAATAGGAACCTCGATGAACAAGAATTAACCAATATCGAGGTGTACAGGACAAGCTGTGAACCACATGTGAAGAAATATAAACTCTTCACTTCAACCTGAAGTTTGTAGTGATGAAAGCTCCACGACCAAAGGACTAAAATCAATAATACTCATTTTGCTTAATGAAACAAACGATATTGTCTAATGTCTTTTTTGACTTCATATAAGTTTTTGTTTACTTCTTTATTAGTATAAAAAATTTATATAAAGGGGTCTGAATTAGTTTTGACATTTTTAACCGAGACAAGGCTTCATAATTCTGTTAAGAAATGCTTTTACAGATAAAACTTCTTGGGAATCCATTTCAAAGATTAGGAGTTCAGCTATCAAGGTTATAAATTCTTTTATGCACCTGTTTAACAATAATGTTAATTCATTAAATCCAAAGCGTAATATAATTAATAATGTTGTATACACCTATGATGCTTTTTGGATATATGAAAATATTTTGAATTATATATCTCTGTTCCAGTTTACATCTTAAAGAATGCTTTAAGTTAATGAATATTCAGCTCATTTTTCTATCGCTTGTTTGACACTTCTCCCTAATGTTTAGGATTACAATTAATCAGTTTCTTATTGGCATATGTGCATCCTGAGCGGATTGCCTTGATATTGCCTTCAGTCACAAGCATTGTAAGCAAAGATGGATGGCGGCTAGCAGTGGAATTCAGGATGCACGTTTCGTCTCATTTGGGAATCGTCAATTGGGTGTACCTGCATTCTAGAGTTGTTTACTTCAGGACTCGAATTCAGTACTGTTTACTTCAAACATCATCACGTCATCTACTTAGCTACTGAGTCCAGATAACCACCGGCTCGTGCAAAGGGGTGATTCAAACAATCAATACAAAAATGAACTAGAACTTCCCCACCAGTTTGAAACTGTGATTAATATAGTTAAACTATTTTAAGTTCAAGTCATTTACCTACGAAAAGCAGTAGAGAATAATCAAACAAATTCGTGAATTGATTGAAGTAAAACATTTTCATCAATATATTTTGACCTAGTGGTCTAGGGGTTTGTCATTTTCCGAAGGTTCTTGGTTCGATTCTTATCCGGAGTCGTGAAGGTAAACTGCTGAAGAATATCATACTAAGACAAACAGCCACCAAGTAACTATTGGTTTTCGATGGTTGACGAAGTAAAATTAGTCTGTAGTATAAACTATGGAAAAGAAATAGATGTCAGCTATTGAATATTCATTATTTGTAAAATAAATTTAGAGTCAACAATTTTTTTCTATTTTAGCACTAATTCAAGTGATTACACACGAAAAGTTTGGTAATTATATTTAATTAAATTATAAGTAAATGTTATTTTTATTTCTAATAGTTAATGGAGTTCAGAGATCTTTTTCAACTAGTTCGTTTCACGCTACATTCTCTTTCATCGTAAAAATTTACAAGAAAATGTATAAAACTATAAAGCTTCAAATAAGTGTCTATAACTTCATTATAGCATATTATATTAGTGTTATCTTAGGGATAAACCATTGAATTGCTTAATAACAATAATGTTAACTAAAAAAACATTTTAGATTTTAGAATGAAATTAAAACTATTGGTTGAATACGTATAGATATATATTACTGACATACCATCAGTTCCGATAATAACAGGGAACAAATTTAAAGAAGGAATAATTAGATATTTTCTTTCGTACTTTACTTTGATTTATAAACGGGCCTTAAACTTTACACACATTTTTAATAACAGTACTAAATATTACCAACAGAATTTATATAAAAGAATCAATAAATTATCATAAATTGAAATGGATGTATAAATAAGAAATAAAAAAAAAGACAGAATTGATTATTAAAGGTGTAAGTAAAGAAAAGATTTATATTGAACTATTGTCATAATGTTTCAAGTTTTCAAAATAGATGAAAATATAGATAGATAATGAGGAAAAAGAAGAAGAAGAAGAAGAAGAAGAAAGATAATCTACTCTTAATGTTAACATGGGACTTTTATAACTAATTTTATTTTCTTACTTAATTACTCTTCATCAAAATAGACTCATTAAATCATCAAGGTCAATAGAATGTTTCCATTTATTTCTTATTCACACATAAATAACTGCGCTTAAAAATATGTAAACAATATATATATATATATATATATATATATATATATATATATATATATATATATATATATATATATATATATATATATATATATACCCTGGACAAGATTCAAGATAGGAAGAATAAGAACACAGTAATTAATAACAGCCAAACAAGAACAGAGAAAGTTAAGATATAAGCTGAATGCACAGGAGCAATCAAGAGAGTGGAGAGGAGCATTAGAGTCGATAAACAGAAATATGCGGGAGAGCTAGGAATGACTGAGAAAAAGAGGAAATATCAAACAACTATATGACACAACGAAGAAACTGGCAGGGTACTATAATAAACCAGAAAGACCGGTCGAAAGCGTAAAAGGTAAACCAGTCATTGAGATTCAAGAACAGAGGAACAGTTAGGTAGAATACCGGCTCCATTACCACTCTACTATTCGGTTAGCATTAAGGGACTAAATAGATATGACATTAGTCATTACTCAATAACCAATCAGTTCCAAATATCTTAGTCCTACGGGAGATCAGTCGCGACCAGAACAACCAGGTGGTAATGTCTTAGATTACGAAGATGCATTACGCCGAATTAAATTCAATAGAGACCACTAGTTCTACCAAGATCGCAGGTATATTCTCATGATAAGTGTTAAATAGGACGAAACCTGAGTTCGGGATATCCTCCAATCGCGTACCACTTCAACATGGTGCATCCCATATCGAGTCACTCAGATTAGTGATCACAATATATTGTGATCAACAAAGTTCGGTCAGCATTAAAGGACTAGACAGACAAGACATCGAGCAGTATTCAGTGGTCAGTCAACTGCAAGCACGCAGATATGTTTCACGGTACCATATTTTTAATCAATGAACATTAATAGGTGCTAAAATTATAAATATATGATTCATTAAAACCTTGCTATTCTGCCATAAAGTAGATATCAATCGTTGATATAAAATTGTATATCCCACCAACAAATATGTTTTTTATTCGACTTACATCAATGAGTGACTGGTATTTATGACTAATATACTTACAGCCGTCAAGTTTATGGCCTTACTCATTTTCAGTTCTATTTGTAATTGCATCAATAACAAATATTTCTTAGATACTCTATTAAATTTTACATAGACAGTCTTAAAATCACAATAAATTAGTCTCGGTTTACTTCATTTAATCAGTGTGAATGAGAAGAGTTTTTCCTTTTCTATTCCAACTAAGTTTACAATTAAAATGTGAGATGAAAAATGCCTGTTAACATAATCAGCAGGTTAATATAAATCATGAGTTTTGGACACATGTGTATTAATGCAAAAATAATTTTAATATGTATATACAATATCACAAAAATACTGTCAAAATAAAGTTTCATTATTGTGCTTTACCTTGAATCCTTCTTCCTCCAGTATTCTTGGTGGATGAAAATCACGTATTAAAAAGTAAGCTAGACGATAATGAAATTCCTCACATGATGGAGAAAAGCAAGAAAGTGGATAGTTGTTGATAGAGTAAGGAGATGAAGAAAGAATTGATTCATCGGTTTTCTGATTCAGTAGTTGAAATTGTTCTACACCTTGATGTTGATTTGTTAATTCATTATCCAATGAAATTACCGAAGGTGATTTGAAGTACCCAGTATTATCACTAGTCGTATCAGCATTGATTTCCTAATTTGTTTAGAAAAAAGAATATTCTTATTGTTTTGTTTGAAATTCTGAACAAAAAACTAAAATAAATCAGTTAAAATAACTCTAAAATAGATTTTCAGAAAACAGAATTTTCTCGCCCGATAACAATTTAAGTTGCGAAATGAACTACTCATAATACTAAACGACAGAAAACTATATTTGAAATTAGCTTAAGTTTGTACATAACTACTGAAACCAGACTGAGCAATTTAAAAATATTATTAAATCTTTTGATTATAAAGTGCAATTACAAAAGCATACTGTTAGAGTATATTAACATGCATTAAAAGCTCAGAAGATTATTGACGAAACGGCTCTCCAATGCTTCCAGACTTTCAATGATGGTCTAACATTGATCGATTAATGATTTCAATCAAAAATAATTCGTTTTAACTTTCAATAGATGACAAATTGAAGTCAATTTATTAGTTTATACATTCAATCATTAATTCATAAATATACGATTATATAAATCGTTAATGTTTGGATCCATATAGTTGATTCTTAACTTTTTATTAAGAAATCAATTTACATTATTTAGTACATTCTGTTTACTGATATAATAGCCGAAACCAACAAAAAAAATCTTAAAATATATTACTCATATTCAAGATATCTCAATAAATATGGTGTGAGTTTTGACCTATATTCAAAAAACAAGGGTGAAATCATTAGATTAATTAACAAGATGAATGAATGAAAGTAGTACACATTACTTAACCGTATGATAACTAACACAATTCTATAACAAAGAAAATGTAATCATAAATAGAGCATGAAAATAATTTCTTCTTTTTTTTTCTTTATCAATTTGAATATGAATGACTGGTCATTCAGTTACATTCACTTACATTTTAGATACAACTACTTTGATAAATTAATTCAGTTGTTCAGTTGTCTAACTTCAATTGACTCATGATCTCAACTATTCTTATTTGATATATTTCATGTTCATTTTTCCTATATTATTAATTGTTTTATATTAATGAATAGTAACTAATGATTCTACTAGTACAAATAGTTCAGTCATGGATTAGAAGAACTAACAAATGAATATGTAACACTTAGTTGTTGTTTTTTTTTTTGCAGATTATCTATATAATTAGTTGTCTTGATAGAAATTTATGGGTTTATTCATATTAATTAGTTAAATTTATTTGTTGTCTAATCTGAGTTGATTAGTATCATCAAATTCTACCGGAAGTTAGATGAGTTAGAGAATAATTTTTTTAAATATTCAATGAGGTAATCATCTTTTTTGTTTTATTGTAAACTTGACTCATCTAAGATGAAATTGATTAGGTCGTAGTAAACTTTAAAGCAAATAAAAAAAGTGATGTCTTGAATTTACACTATAGTAATCAAATTACAATTATCACTTGAATATCTTAGAGCCTGTGACAAACTGGATGAAGTGTATAGAAGTTATAAAAGAAAGTTAATAATAACATATAGTTGCACTCATTATTACTCATGACATTCTTTAATTTAATCAAGTGTTGGAAGATATAAAAATTAGAAATGATTGTTTCTTTCATCTATTCAATTGTTCAAAAATCATTCTAATAAATCATAAAAATTAAAATATTTCTTTTTATATCGTCTCTTTGAAGTACATGATGATGTTGTTCAGGAAAATGATGAACGCTTGGTAATTCATCCATCCAGCTCAGAGTCCGCAACAACTCTAATATAACCACATCTCTTCAATATTGCATATACATTCTTTGAATGAGTGTCAAGTAATACAAGCTCTAATTCCAATGAATCCTATCGTTCACCTACAAATATTTGACCGTGTATTACTGAACTTCTGATCTGTTAACTGACAAAAGCAAAAGATTTGGTAAGAAAACTCAGAAGATAGTTGTTTCCTCCTGGTAGTAATGAATCTATTTAGTGTTTTTACAAACACCACAATTATTTCCGAGTAATAGTTTCTGAACTACAGAAAATGAGATATTTCAGTTATATAAAAGAACAATCAGAGAGAGTAAACGGTGAAAAATGCTAGGTTTTGGATCCATTGGTATTCATCAACATGATAAGCCATGAACTTCAAATAAACTCATGTCTTTAAGAATAAGGTATGCTAGAACTCATGTAATTCAAAAAATAGTCAAGGAATTTACCATTGATTTGTTTAAAGTGCCTTTTTTCTTGAGTTAGGTCATGAGTAACTGTATAAGGACACCAAGGTTATTAGTTTTCATAGATCGTTAAATCTTATCGATTGTCTAAATTTACCTTATACAAAAAATAATCCGGTACTATATGAAGTTAATAGTCTATGTACTGTTGATTAATCAAACTAAATCAGCACTAACAAATATAAAGAATATTGTTAGTCAATTTCAGGTGACTGGTGTATATAATCGGATATGGGATTAAATTATGAAAACTAGGTCTGTTTAACGTGCATTACTTTGATTAAGTAAACTTACCTCATCCAAGTACATAGTAGCTAGTTATTTTTGTTATGCATTTGATTTCGCTGATATAAATGGCATTCTTTCATTTCCTAAAAGGGACAACTTATCAACATTTCTAATAATTCACATGTAGCCCTTTCTATAAATAATTTAAGGTACTTAAGATACCACATAATTGCGATATCCAAATCAATGAAACATTTACAAATTGATGACTATGTAATAAATCTCATAGTGGCTGAGAATAAAGTGAATTTGTGTCAAACGTATCCTTATTTAAGCTTCCTGTATACTGAAATCACTATGTTAAATTAAACTTATACTATTCCATAAATAATCAGAGTCAAACGCCTAAATGGTTCATTGACATTCTGATCAGTAATGATAACCAATAATTCTTACAAGTAATTTGTTGTCATCATTTACTTAATTGTTTAACCCCAATATAAAAATAGAGAAAATTGTTGTCCATTTATCATTTGTAAATTTTCAATGATTGTTCGAATAAAATTACTGTATTATGAAACATTTAGTTCAATGCCTATGTAATCTAGATGAATATAGTTCGTTACAGTTATGCATCTAGATTCTTCATATTTCTCTATAGGTAACATTAAAATCAGTTCATGATTAAAACTATGATAATTCTATAATCCCCCTACACTAATGATAATCATCTGCTCACTAGTGATTAATTTTAAGATGCAACTCTTTGAGTTTTAGTGTAAAGTTATAATTAATGGTGTTCAACCATATCGTGTGAGACAGTTATTCAAATATTCAGTCAAATAGTAACGTGAGTTAGCTTAAGTGAGACATTAACGTCATCGGATGACGGTTTACTGCTTTAGAGATTAAATGTTCACACGAGTGGTAGAAAGTTCGACTCCTAATTGAAGGGATGTAGATGCGAACTTCTGAAGAGTCACATATTATAACAAAATGGTCGTCTAATACTTCCATGCTTTTATTGTTAGTCTTACAATCTCCCCAAAAATACCCTTATATTCATTTAAGACGTTTAATTTCAATGAATTATATCTTCATACACTATTGAAATAGTATATTATATGTATATTTTCACTTCATAAAGATTATGAGGTATTTAAAATATTTACCTGTCCATATGAACTACTTAGTTAAATTGTTATGTTTTTATTACATAAATGTAAAATAATTTACATTCTAATCTATCTTGTAAACAAACTGGTATATTGAGAAATAAAATTATATTTAATTCGTTAAATATCTTCTGCCTAATTAATTATCTTAATGGTTTATGGTCAATCATCAACATTGTTAAATATTAATCTGACGATTTATTCACTTTTTTTTAATTTTCACAATGAAATAAATTATGAAATGATATTGTTTTTAAAGTTCAGCTTCAGTCAATATGTAGAAAAGAATTTCATAATACTGTTGGAGTTAGAAATGATCGGATTCATTTTGAATTATAAACAAATATAGGTGAGACTATAATTTATGGACAACCTTTGAGGGATACCAAAGTGACCTTGAGAGTGTTTACCTATTGAATAGGGTTAAATGAAGGTTATAAAGCATTTTTAGGAATAAAGATAATGATTTACAGTTGATGGTAAGAGTTAAGACTTAGATTTATGGTTTTCATCACGAAATGACATCAGCTAAAATACTAAGACGCTATTTGGACGAATGAATGAGTGAATTTTGTATTTAAAATCCAAGAACTGTTATCCCAAATCTGATTGATTCGTCCATAAATTATAGTCTCTCCCAAAAATTTGATAGTATACATTCTACAATAGTATTTTCTAGCATGCATTTCCGTGTGAACGTATCCTAATTGAGTTGCTCAATCAATTACTTATAATTATCAATCAGCCTATAATAGAATTTATCATGATGTGTCAAGTAACTAACTCTCATGTTAGGTGGAATGGGTTCGAATCCCATTAAATATATAACGACTCAATATTATAGATACATCTTGGTGACGACTGCTAACTATCAATCACTTTCATCTATATAAAATCGGATAGATGACATACTGACTACATCATTCTAATTTTAAAAAAAAACACTTGAAAATTTTAATTAAAAGAACACAATTCATAATTTAGCTGAAAAAAAGTTTTTATCTACCAACATATTCACTTTTATATACAAATCAAAAAATAAAAACAAAAAAAAGAAACTTCACAATGATGAAATAATGTTCAAATTAATAACAGAATACACTTGCATTATGTATTGTATTTGTACTTGTACAATTTTTTTGCATTTCTACATTTTCATTCTTCATTATTAAATGATTTAATGATTGTTTTGGTGATTTTGATAATGATTCTTTAAAATTTGTAACTTTTGTAAAAGCTGAATTATAATTCCAGTCTTCATTACTATTAATATTGTTATTATTAGTAGTATTATCAGTACTATTCATAAATATTGGAGAATGATTATTATTATTATTATTATAAGATTTTAAATATAAAATATTTTCTAATTTTTCTTGTTCAATTTTTTGTTTATGTGTAGATAAACTTAAATCAAGCGGTTCATTTGTATCGATGAATAATGATTGATAAGATTTAATTGAAAAATCTGTTATAGGTAATGAATTGATATTTAAATTATTCAATTGTAATTCATTATTATGAATAAAATTTTGTTGTTTTAATGTATCATTTATAGATAAATTTAATGAATTGAAATAATTATTCAATATTGATTGATTGAAAATTTCATTATTATTATTATTATTATTATTAATTAATAATTGTCGATTAATATGTTTATAATATTCATTTATATATAAATTAGTTAATTTTGTTAAATTCAATTGTATATTTGATATAGGATTTATTGAATTAAATAATTCATTTAATAATTCATTAGATGAATTTGATGTTTGTATATTATGATGATGATGATGATTGTTTAAATTAGATGAAGATATTATTGGTTGATTAATAGTATTATCATTGGAATTTAATAATTCATTATTGATTAATGGTAATGTAGTATTATATAATTGTGTATTATTTAATGTAGTAAACATATTTGGTAGTGACCATAAGAAGTTGGATGGATTTGTACACTGAAAAACAAGTAAATAATAATTTGACAGATAATTCCCATTTAAACATTAAAATTAAAATACGAAGTTCACAGCAGAGATCTCTTTTCAACGAATTTATTATCAAGCTGTACAATCGTATATATTTATGAAATTTTATTTTTTGTAAAAGTACTAATTCCATGAGGAAATGTGAACACAGTTAACCATAACGTAATAAAAGAGGTTATAATACTAGATTACGTAATATGAATAATAACAATAGATTTAGTAAATATAATATAGTACTTTTACAAAAAACAAAATTTTCCTATATATACGAATGTACAGCTTGATAATAAATTCATTGAAAAAAGATCACTTCGCTGAACTTCGTGTTTTAAAATAATAATTTATTAGAATAAATATGATAATGAGGATTAATTGTAAGTGAATACAATAAGAATATGATTTGAATTAAATTTGTTTAATTTTTAACTATGGTCATTCAATGCTTCCAGGTTTTCCATGATTGTCTAGCTTCAATTGACTTATGAATTCAATTAATAAATTACTACAATTTCCACAAAACCCCTCTTTGATTATAATCATCATATGCTCACTAGTGACGGTTTCTAAGGATTATTTCCTGGAGTTCTAGTGAGAAGCAGTGACTAGTCGAGTTCAACCAGGTCTGTTATGAGATAGTAAGTCACTAAAGACAGTAATGGATGTGTCGTTCAATTTCTTGGATTAGTTGAAGTTAGATATTGGTGTACAGGTTAAGCGCTCACGTGCGAGACTGATATGTCTTGTGTTTGAATCTCGCGAGGGGGATCGTGGGTGAGCACTGCTGAGGAGTCCTATACTAGGATGAAACAGCGGTCCAGTGCTTCGAAGTTTTCTATCGTGGTCTAACTTCAATTGACTCATGATCTCAACTATTGAAATTAACTACAATAGTTTAATAAATATTATTCATGAATTTAGAAGATTTGTGTACAACGTTGAATTTTTTAATTTATATCATGAAATGACCATGGTTAGACAACTATTTATTTCTAGCACGTAACTCTTCAGTGGGATGATTCCATGATATAAGCTTTATAACCTAAAAATCTACACAAACTCTAGATTTGTATAATTTTCTCATCAGTGACTAATTTCAGGAGATGATACCTGGAACTTCTATTGGGAGCTATATCCAATGTAATTCAAGTATGTAGAATGTAAGAGATTTACCCACTGAAAAGAGCAAACTAATTCGCCAAATCGCAAATCGACTGAATTAATTAGACTCTTGCCGTGAGATTTGAAAATTCTTACTTCTGTCCTCAGTTGAGTTATTGCTACATACTCCTGAAAAAACCTAGACAACGACAAGACATCAGTCTAATACTTTCTGGTTTACGATGATTATTTAACCAAGGTTAATTCACTACGTAATTTCTAAAATATAAGTTTTCAAAGAGCTATGGTGGTTAGCAACGATGTCTGGAAAGAGAATGCGAAACACCATTTATTTCAATATTGTACTCATCAGAGTTTCATCTCTACAAAGTTAATTCACATTTAGATTCTTTTATATTTAGCTCACTGAGAAAAGATATAAGACGATCAAAAAAAACATTTTTTCGTCAGTTTACCTTACATCCGGCTCCTCTTTTATACAGTCCTAACTTTTTTTCAGGTAATAACGGGTACAAAGTTAACGAAATCTACAATACAAACTTAATTGTGGAGTGTATGTGTGTCCTTATCTTCATGCATTATTCACACACGTGGGTAACAACATTTCGATTTAATAAGAATACGATTCATTACTTCATAAAATTGGTAGTAATTTAGTAGTAATTATGATACATTAAAAAAAGAAACAGTTGTAAATAAACCACAATTAAATCTAACATTTTTTAGTTCATAATTACTTGTTACATTAGGAGTCGATTTGTGATAGACTAAAATAATAGTTGAATCATTTTATTTAAAATTTATCTTTTAGGATCCTTTCATTTGCTTATTTGTAATCTACATACCTAATCAAGTGTTTGTACACACTACTTAAGGAGAATTTTAAAGATTGTGGTAATAATAATTTAATTATGATAGAATACATGTAATCAATGCAGACACAAACAATGATAATTTATTTTTGCACATTTTGATGTTTTATGGTAACTTAGAAAAAAAACAACTAAAACTCGAATCTCACGAGGCACGATCGTAGATGAGCATTGCTGAGAAGTCCTATACAGGGATGAAACGGCCGTCAAGTGCTTTCAGGTTTTCCATGGTGATCTAGCTTCAATTGATTCATGAATTCAACTATTAAACTTACTATAATTTCCACAAAACCCCTCTTGAGTTAAAACTCATGTTCATAACATTCTAAGAACTCTTGCATTGATTATCATTTTAGTCTTATCCTATGCATAATTGTATCTTTCTTGAAGATTATCATGTCTTTAAACCGAAACCAAAATATGTTTGTGTTGATTACTAGTTTATAGAATATTTAATGAAATGCTATACGACATATTCGAAATTTATCAACTCAAGTCTAAACTGAACCTCACATTATAAATAAAGATAAACTTTTATTCCTCTATATGACATACATGATACATTCCAACAGTTTCTTTTAAAACTGAAATACTTGGAAATCAACAAACAAATACCAGATTATATAGAATATTGTATAAATTAAATTTTAACTAACTAGTCATATAATATTACTATGTAAGTATTCAATAATATACAACACTATAATTACCTTTTCATTACCTAATCTGTATGATGGGCTACAAGCGTTAACCTTAATTTGTGTTTGTAATTGATTTATTTCTTCGTTTTCTTTGATTACTTCTCTTCCTTCACATATATTGATATTGGAATTATGAATTCTAATTGGATAGTTATTATTATTATTATTATTAATTTGATTGAATTTACGATTTGTCATTGAATAATCAAGATGTCTGTATGAACCAGGTGGACGTCCACGATGTGTACGCCTTGATAATAAAGTTGGATTATAGTGTTCATTTGTGTAGGATAGTGTCATTGGTGCTGGTGGTCCTGATGATGATGATGATGATTTTAATGATTCTGATGTTGATGTAATCAAATTATTTGACCAGTCAATTAATTTTGCATTATTACTTGTTAAATTATAATTTATTTTAGTCATTTTATTCATTTCTTTTAATGTCATTAAAGCACAACGTGATTTTTTAGATTGCTGATATTCTTGTTGGACAATTTCACCATGACGACTTTTTAAATGATTTAACATAGTGGTTGTTGTACCGGAATTATTAAATGCTAATAAACTATCACATAGAATACATTGTGTATGAGTTAAATCTTTAGTACCCAAATTTAATTCAGGATGAAAAAAATATTTCCATACAAATGATTTTTTAGTACCAGTACGACTACCCCAATTCCCTGAACGTCTTGTTGAATTTCGCCAAAAACTGAATATTGGATTTGTTGTAGTATTACGTGGAAAATTGGTAACCGTTGTCATTTTAGTTACTGTGTTATCATTAATAGTATCATAATTACTATTACACGTCTGATTAAGAATAATAGGCGAACTTGATACAGTTGAAGAAATTATAGTACTAGGGACATATTCTTTAATATGATTTGAAACGATCACACTTGTACTTGACTTGTCGAATTCTGTTTGCTGATTTTCTGTATATTGATTATTATCGTTGGCGTTATGAATATCAGTAGTTAAGTTAGTTGGTTGATAGTACTGTTTGAAATTCATATCCATGACAAAGAACACTTATAGTTGTTATATGATTATTTATATATTACCTCGATCATTTTGATTACATCTTCAATTTCTGTTGGTTCGGTATTCGGAAGTCTTCGAAAGTTGTGTATTAGTGAAATTCTATCTATGGATACATATACATATACAACAACCAAAATTTTGTTTGTTTTTATGAATAATGCAAGGAAGGGGTGCTTAGAAAAGAAATTGAATATTCAGTGTGTTATTGTTGTGCTATTTTTCTATCTAACCTTTTATTGTCATTCTTTCTACCCCTCTACTAGCTAGGATGAAATTCTGATTGGTTGAATTTATGTCGTTTACTAGTTTGACCAATGAACGTAAATTTTAAAAACGAAATATCATTGATAAATTATTTCAAGCGTTTGTTCATTCACCTTTCATAAGGATGAAGTTTATTTGTGTCGCTACTACTCAATTATCTGTTTGCAAAGAAAAGTAATTAGCTTGACCACTTAAACATAAGGTTTAAGACTAATACCAATGAGAAGTTTTATTAAACTGAATTCATATTGTCTATCGATACCTAAAGTAATTTGTTTTATCGAGAATATTCCAAGGTCACAAATCTTTGATTTTTGTATTAGATCTTCAGCTAAGGTATAATATAAAAAAGTGAGAGTTCTCTGTTTAGAAGTATTCTTCGTGCGAATCATTAACTAGATGAGACTAAATTTTAATTTTCAGTTGGAATTAACATCATAATTTCAAGATAATCAAATCTCTCATTTGATATTCGTCCTAAAACTAATAATTATCATTTTATAAATGAAAAGCATGAAAAATAAGTTTATAATACTAGAAAGTAAACTAAGTAATTATTATTAATACAAATACTAAATATAGAAAAACTCGACGATCTGTTAACTTCAACTCATCAAACACAACACAGTTTTCAGTAGTAAAAGTTTATTTATGCTGATTTCCATTAGATCCTTATCAGGCTTTGCTCTAATATATAGTAGTATTTATGTGAGCATAACTTTAAGAAAAAAATTTATATTAACAAGAAACCTATGCAAAATACTTAGGATCCGTTGGACAGACATTATCAACAACACCCAACTGTGTGAGAGAATAAACCAGATCGCAACAGAGGAAGAAATCAGGAAGAATCACTGGAAGTGGATAGGACACATATTGAGAAAAGCACCCAAATGAGTCACAAGGCAAGCCCTCACTCGGAACCCTCATGTCTAAAGGAGAAGAGGAATACCAAAGAATACATTACGTCGAGAAGTGGAGACAGACATGATAAGAATGAACAACAATTGTATAGAATTAGAAAGGAAGGCCGATGACAGATTGAGTTGGAGAATGCTTGTTGGTGACCTATGCTTCACTGGGAGTAACAGTCGTAAGCAAGTAAGTAAGTAATAAGAAATCCTTAGATGCAACAAGTCACTATTCTTTTTGTCATAAGGGAAAAAAGAGATAATCTTTTTAGTTATTACCAATAAAACTTTGGTTTACTTATCATTTCGTTATAGGAATAAATTTTCTTTTAAGGAAGCTTCAATAAACCCTTGTATTATAATTAGAGAGGGATTGTATGGATATTATAGTAATTTAATAGTTGAATTCATAAGTCAGTTGAAGCTAGACCACCATGGTAAACCTGGATACCAGCTTGGTGGTCTAGTGGTTAAGCGCTAGCTCGCTAGACTGATAAGTTCTGGGTTCGTACCTCACGAGGAGGGATCGTGGAACGCACTGCGGAGGAGTCTCATACTTTGACGTTTTCCTGGGTGGTCTTGCCTCAGTTGATTCATGAATTCATCTATTAAACCCTTGTATGCTGAAAAATTTAAAATCATTCTAAAAGTCAAGAGATCTATGAGTGATTTTTTAGATCTTAAATTTAGTTTCAAACAGTTGTTACATGTTTTTTTTTCAGAAATGTTTGTTAATAAGAATAAATCTAATAACTTTTTCAGAGTAATTACCAGTAGGAAAATGTCATTCAATGTTAAGAAGTAGATCTACCTCGAAAATTTACACTTTATTTCTGCGTTATTTAACTTATACTTTTTATCCATTTTAAGAATCTTAAATTGATAATTTAAAAAAGAAAAGTTTTTTTTTCATGCTTACTAAGAAATTGAATGAATATTCTCGACCTCAGGAAATGAAGATGTTTTCATCTTATCAATTAGGATAGAGTAAATAAAAGTAATCAAAATAAGAATAAGGGCTAAAATAAAATCTCTTCAATGAAGAAAATAAAACCAGTTCAGCCAACATAAAAACAATTTAATTTATTTTAAGTATTTCCTGTTTAAATGAATAATATCTAAGCAAATTCGTTAGATTATTTATTTATTTATCACAGGTTTTATATGGGTACCAGGACAAAAAAGAACATACATTTTTTTAGGTCATTGCTTATTTTCTATCTTTCCTTTTTTTGTTCAATTGGATTCAAGTGAGTTACTTTGCAGAATAACTAAGAGACAATAGGTCAATTGAAAAAAGTAATACTAAGGATAATCCTGTATGATGAATGAATGTTTTTGTTAATAACTGTGTTACTTTGTATTGTTTCTACAGATTTTCATTAAAATTAATAGGTAAGTTGATTTTCAATAACCATCAGTACGTTTATTTCAATTATTGATAGGTTAAAGTGATTAAATTCACAGATAGTTTATAAAAACTGTTTGCCTGTAGTATTACAAAGAATGACAATCTAGTCATATTCATCAGGAATTTAGTAATCTACTTCTTGATCACATATTTCCTCATAAAGATTGAAATCTATTGTTCAGTATTAGAAATATCCATAAACTTTTACTGGTAACGGTACTCGTGCGTTCATTAGTGACTAACTATGCGATAAATTATGTGAGTGTGTGAAATCACGTCATGTGAATTATAACTACATTGGGAATGATAAAGAAGTCACTGTTGGAATAGAGTGAACGTCGTGCTGTAGAGTGAATTGACTAGAGTTGAAAACACGGATTACTAAATCTATAAATATTCTGTGTTTATTTTGTGTGAATGGCGGATACAACACAACTGAAGAGTACACAACAAAGATGAGATTCTCCCTACCTTAATCCAATGTTTCTCCAGATTCTCGTCAATTAGTAATGAAAATAAACTTTTCTAGAAGTGAATATATCATTTTAAGTAAATATTCTATCTCATTCAATACTTCGTTAAAATTCACATGGATAATTTAGAAAATTCATTTTCTTCCTAATCTACATTTATATGGTTTAAAACAACACAGTACTATACAGAGCTGAAACGTGGAGAATTACAATAATCATGATAAAAAAAGTACAAATATTTCTAAACAATTTTCTACTCAAGATATTCAATGTCTGTTAACCTGAATCCATCATCAACAGCCTATCGTGAGAGAGAACAAACCAGGTTCCAGCTGAAGAGGAAATTATAAAAAGAAGTTGGAAATCCATAGGACATATATTATGGAAATCACCAAACTGAATCACAAAGCAAGCGCTAACTTAGAATTCTGAAGGTGAACGGAAAAGATGAAGGCCAAAGAACACACTACGTCGGGAATTGTAAGCAGACATGAAAAAGATGAATAGCAACTGATAAGGATTATCCAGAACAGAGTTGGATGGAGAATACTGATGGACGACCTATGCTCCTCCACGACGAGTAACAGGCGTAAGTAAAGTATAATAAAACAACACACTATTATAATAACTGTTAAAATAAGTAATTTTGTAGTTTCTGCTTTTACGAATGGTTTAATGAAGAATACATTATTAAATACTGGTTATTTGATGTCAATAGCAGTACAATGGTAGTCTAATAGTCGATGTATTTCACCAAATTACTACATTAAAGATGTCGTTCAGTTTTATTCTCAATATTTGTTTTAAAAATTTACGAGTCAAAATGATTTCACTAATGTTCTACTCAGTTTTAGCACTTTTTTCTTGCATTTAGATAGATCTTTATAGATCTTTTTATTGAATAGAAATCTTCAAGACTTTATAAACTAACTTTAGTACATTTTATTAATTAATTGTACCTCATTATATTGTTAATTTTTTATGAATCCTGTTATTATATAATCACTTCAGTCCGTCTACTGTTAAATAGGCTCATAATTTTTAAAGCACACATTTTCTAATTTCAGAGGTTATAGTTAATTTATGTGAAAATATTGTATCTAATTCAACGATTAAAATAGTAATCAATGACAGGTTTTTTCTACCATTAACAGAGATATCAATTAAAGAGTTAAATAGTTTGTCCTGATTATGTCACCATTACTAAGTTGATATCTAATGGTGTACATTTGCTTACTGGCGTACTTATGATTGTCAGCCTCCGTGGAACATTGACCTACGACCATGATTCTCCGATCAACCCTGTCCTTCCCTTGCATTTCCGGTTTTCTCAAATTACTATTCACTATTTTGATGTCTGTCTCCAATTCCTGGCATACTGTGCTCGTTTGTCTGCCTCTTTTACTTTTGCCTAAAGGATTCAAAGTTACGTCTTGTCCCAAGATTCGGTTTATAATGATTTCCTTGCTGTGTGTTCTATCCACCTCTAACATCTTTTCCAAATATCCTGTTTATGTGGAAGTTAGATTGTTTTCTGACAAAGTAGGTTGTTGCTGATGGTATCCGGCCAACTGACAATGAGTATCTTGCGTAGACAACTGTTCATAAATACCCGTACATTTTTATAATGGTTGTGGTAGTTCTCCAAGTTTCAGCTCCGTACAGTAGAACTGTCATGACACTCGTATTGGAGATTCTGACTTTGATGTTGGTTGACAGTCATTTTTAGTTACATATGTTCTTCAATTTTAGGAATGCTGTTCTTGCCTTTCCAATCCTCGTCTTTACGTCGGAGTAAGATCCTCCAAGTTCACCGATGATTCTACTCAGATATGTGATGTATGTTGTGTATGTTGAGACCTACTGATGCAGAGGCTACTGCTGCACTGTTTGTCTTGACCTGCATTTGTTGATGTGTATGGGATAGAAGAGCCAGGTCATTTACGAAGTCCAAATTGTCTAACTGCATCAAAGCT